AGTAGTAGTTAGTAGTACGTAGTAGTACGTAGTAGTACGTACGTTACGTACGTACGTAGTAGTAGTAGTAGTAGTAGTAGTAGTAGGTAGAGTAGTAGAGAGAGTAGAGAGAGAGAGAGAGAGAGAGAGAGAGAGAGAGAGAGAGAGAGAGTGTTTATGTGAGAAGAATGTGGAAGAGAGGGAGAGGTGTGTGTGTGTGCAAGAGAGAAAGATAGAGAGAGAGTGAGACCCATGTCATTCAAAGTGAATTGGAGATTGAGAGAGAGAGAGAGAGTGTGTGTGTGTTTATGTGAGAAAAATGTGGAAGAGAGGGAGAGGTGTGTGTGTGTGCAAGAGAGAAAGATAGAGAGAGAGAGTGAGACCCATGTCATTCAAAGTGAATTGGAGATTGAGAGAGAGAGAGAGAGAGCCAAAAAAATTTCCCTACATATGAGAATTGTGCCCTTGTCCTTGTTTGTATAGTTGTACAGATACAACTTGATAGAGGTGTAGAGAGAGACTGTGCTGTAGAGAGAGAGAGCGAGACGAGGCAATGATGAAAGGACACTTACTCTTCAAAGTCAAAATCTCTCTCTATATATTCCACTTAACTTTTCGACTTTATCAGGTTGCAATCTCATAGCAATGATTCATGGCGTTGATTTTAGAGAGTGATAAATGATCATGAATCATTATTCGTATAAGTGATTTGACTGTGTTGACTAGTAAAGTGAATTAATATTCGATGACATTATCATTACTCATCTCATGGAACTAAAGGCTAAAGCTAAACACTAAGGTGGCATTTTGGTGTTTCTCCCTAAAAATGGGTGATTCTCTCTCTTTCAAAATCCGTGATTCTCTCTCTCAAAATTGGTGATTCTCTCTCTAAAAAAAAAAAAGTTGATTCAGACATATCGAAATAAAACGCGAATGATAAAAGGCCAAAACAAGACTCTCTCTCTCTCTCTCTCTCTCTCTCTCTCTCTCTCTCTCTCTCTACTCTACTACTACTACTACTACTACGTACTACTACGTACGTACGTACGTACGTACGTACGTAACGTAACGTAACGTAA